ATATATATATATATACATGTTTTCTTTACAATAAAGAAAATATGTATTTTCTAGTCAGTCAGTTTGGACTTATTTTAATTTGTTATTTAAGCAGATTAAAGATTTCTGCAGGTACAGTGAAACATTTCTGATCTGCTGTGTTTAATGTTCTGTACATGAACACATTCAGAAACRCAAACACATATAACCTCAGTCTGTGTTGATGGAGCATGTACACTGAGCTAACCTGGTTCTGTTGGTGTCTCTGGCTTCAGCCTGACCTCGTTCCCTTCATCACAGAATATGTCTGTTTATTTAACTCATTTGGCTGCATCTTTCACAAACTTTTTCTTAGTTTCTCTGCTCCATTCATCTCTTTGTTCTTTCTTTCTAACATGTTTGTTAATTTTACTCGCGCTGCTCACCTCTTTTCCTTCWCTTTTTTAATACTTTTTTAATAAGGGAGGGAGCACACCGGGCAGCTCCGTCTTCTCTCGCTCCACAGAGCCGCTGTTTGTTTACAGGCAGAGGGAAGGTTGGTGTGAAAATACGGACTGGATAATAACCTGGCACGTCCCTGTGTGCGACACCACGGGTTGCAGTGAAAATGTGGACTGAATTTGTGTCAACACTTGTGTTTTTATAATTAAAAAAAAGTGGACCGGAGTTGAGTTTTTGCGTTAGTTCTCAGCATGAGAAAGTGGTGGGGTGTATGGCAAGCTGTTGGGGTCATAAATAGGGCGTATATTTAYGTGCAAATCCTAACGCGTGGTGCCGTTAATAACGTGCAAACGTGCGGTGGCGCCACACACGGTGGCGTTAAATAACATGCGGTGGCGTTTTCTAACCTAACCCTAACCCTAACCCTAACCCCAACCCTAACCCTAACCCACCGCGTGTTCGCGCGTAACGCCACCGCGCGTTCTCATGTTATTTACGGCACCGCGCATGGGGCCACCGCGCGTTCGCACATTATTTACGGCACTGCGCGTGGGTCCACCGCGCGTTCGCACATTATTTACGTCACCGCGCGTTAGGATTTGCACGTAAATATACGCCCGATTTATGGCCCCAACGGCTTGCAATAGGGGTGTGGCATGAGAGCGTGTGGAGAGCTCAAATGCGTGTCTCACTTTTAGAGATGGACGATACTGGGAATTTCGGTATCGATCCAATACCAAGTAAATACAGGGCCAGTATCGCCGATATCGATACCGATACTTTTAAAGCTTCATAATTTGAAAAGATCCAAAAGATCTAGGATAGAATTTCATCAAACATTGTACGTGACAACAAAATACTTTATTATAACAATCAATATTTTTGCTTGCCAACAACAGAGCAGTAACAAAACAGTTTCCTTTAACATTAGGAAAATAAACCTTTTATACAAAAGTAGAATTCTTCCCTCACCAATAGACATCTTTCCTAATTATTTCTTTGTTTCNGCGCGTGGGTCCACCGCGCGTTCGCACATTATTTACGTCACCGCGCGTTAGGATTTGCACGTAAATATACGCCCGATTTATGGCCCCAACGGCTTGCAATAGGGGTGTGGCATGAGAGCGTGTGGAGAGCTCAAATGCGTGTCTCACTTTTAGAGATGGACGATACTGGGAATTTCGGTATCGATCCAATACCAAGTAAATACAGGGCCAGTATCGCCGATATCGATACCGATACTTTTAAAGCTTCATAATTTGAAAAGATCCAAAAGATCTAGGATAGAATTTCATCAAACATTGTACGTGACAACAAAATACTTTATTATAACAATCAATATTTTTGCTTGCCAACAACAGAGCAGTAACAAAACAGTTTCCTTTAACATTAGGAAAATAAACCTTTTATACAAAAGTAGAATTCTTCCCTCACCAATAGACATCTTTCCTAATTATTTCTTTGTTTCTTTTATTAAGTAAAATTGTTCTAAGGAAAAACAAAAGATAAGGAATTTTCTTCCTTTCAATACAATTCTGTTTTATGTAAATAAACAGACTAAAAACTATCATTCAACACAACTTAAAACAAAATCTCCTGAGGTAGAGGGCTCAGTGAGAATGCAGAGTGGGTGGGCCCAGGGCCAGCCAGCCTACCTGTTAGCTTAGCTGTTTGGCTGGCGCTGCTGATCCACGTGACGGTGCAACAACAAAAGACAGGGGTGGGGGGGTGCGCAGCTCCGTGCACCACTACAGAGAGTAGACTTTGAAAAATCCACGTGTGCAGCAGTCAGTGTGTGCGGAAAAGAACAAAGCTTGAGTATCGATCTTTTACATGAGTATTGTTCAATATCAATACCAGCGCTGGTATCGATAATGTCAATATTTTGTATAGATCCGCCCATCTCTACTCACTCTCAATGCGTGAGACTTGAGAGCCCTGACACCAGAAAAGAACTGCACCAGAGTTTGTTTGGAAGCRGACAGAGGCCACCTCAAAAAGTGGTTTGGGTCTGGTTGTTTGATCCGCACCAGGGTTTGAATGAGTGTATTCATACCTGCATAAAAGCTCTGGGCCAACAGAGGAAACAAACTCTGGTCCGTTTAAAGTGGATCAAATGTGTCAGGTGTGAATGCACCATAAAAGTGAATCCACTTCAGGTGTGTGATGGTTGATTTGATTGGGAGAGTTTCAATAAAAGTATAAACAGTTAGGCTGACCATTGCCTTCCTACACAATTCCACTCGATTTTAATCTCCCTTCACTGCTCCGTCTGGACTTTCTCCCATTGACATGGATTTCAAATGGGCCAATCAGTGAACTGAAGGAGGAGTTATGAACRACAGCATCAATGTTCTGCGCTGTTTCAGTCTGCTTGTAGTTTAGCAATGGCAGTGAATGAAGTCAGTCAGCATTGACAAGGTTTCCAAATGAAATTAAATACGTCACAAATCCTGCAGCTCTCGTTTACATCTGTCTCGTTTGGCTCGGTAATTCACTCTTCCCAGGAGTGGATGGTTGTTTACAGCACACGCAATTTCCAAATAGCCTCTTAGCATAGCTTCCTTCACTGTCAAACTGGCGCACTGCATACGTCACAGCTAAACGTTAGCGATTTGGTCAAATCAGCTCGAATCATTTTAAACTTCAACAGAGTCCACGCCTCCAGCAAGCAATTGTTTCTCAATAGCCAAGAGTCCAGGCCCTCTGTACAAAGCAAAGCAAAGCAAAGCAAAGAACAAGGGACTTGTTTTTACCAAGCTAGTGTACAGTGTTTCATGAGATATTTTGCTAACAGACAAGCTGAACTTTTAAATGCACATTAAGTGCAATGTTGGGGACTATAGTCTCAGCTACACCTATTTTCATTTTAACATCTGTAAAATCAACAGAGTTATTATATCTATATCCATGCTTGGCAGCCATGTTGAATCAGRTTGACTCCAGAAGTTAATCMGTTGTAGACGTGAACCCAGTGATCATGWYCTGAAAGTTTGATTAAARTCCATGACGTGATTCATGAGATAATTCACACACAAACGCCTTGTTTCATTTCCTCTTATTCACTTGGTTTTGTTGTATCTCACTGAAGAATAAATGYGGCCTCAAGCTGTGCAAATAGAAATTTGTAATTTACTCTGTGGTCTTCTATCAATGCTTTTTAACCACAGTTGCATTAAAGCCATGTTTCCATGTGTGTTTCCATGTCTGCAGTGGTCTGTCCCAAAGCGCTGCCAGCTGATGACCCATCTGAGCTGTCCAATCAGATAACTGCCCCGGGAATCCTGAAGATCTTTGGAAATGAAATCTGTGAAGGCGCTCACTACAAGAGCGTCCTGGCCAGCACACACTCCAGTGCGATGGAGCTCATCAAGGAGGCCCTGGAACGGTGAGAACATGTGCGATTGGTTCTCGTGGGTCTGCCGGCCACATGTGGCTGTGTGTGTCTTTGTGTRTCTGCTCAGGGTGAGTTACGGCTCACCACATGCTTACTCTGCTACAACGCAACTGTGCGGAAAAAGAAAAAAAAAACAATTTGCTGATTAAACGGAAAAACCACAAAGAATGAACACATAATTACATCCATGAGCTTTCTGCATTAATCAGTTCTCTTAATACGCCCTGCTTGGATCAGTTTAATTTATAAGTGCTTTTTGTCTTTGTTTTTGTTTTTTTGGTTTTTTATCGCTCACCACACAAAGGTGAGATGAGGGAGTTATGGTTTCTGTCTCTGTTTGTTTGTCTATTGTGTTAGCAAAATATCTTATGAACCACTGGACAGATTTTACTTAAATTCTCAGAAAGTAGTTTTTGGATATACACTCACCAGCCACTTTATTAGGTACACCATAGTACCAGTGGTGGATGCTGGTCTTTCAAGTAGAGGAAGCTCAATTTCGGCCTACATAATAAAACGTGTCGTTTTATAAATTCTACCCTCCGTTCCTTTTCACGAAAATGAAGTTTATAGTATTTATTCATTTGATTTTAAAAAACAAAACATTACATAAAACAAAACAATACAAATAAAATAAAATGAAAGGCAGCAGAAGAAGAAAAATAACATATCTGCTCCTATTTACAAAAAATATTAATTTCAAACAATATTAAACCAAATAATAAAACAAAACAAAAAAATCAACTCCTCAAACAGTGACTCATAC